TATTTTCATATCTTACATCATCCTCTGTCACCCTTCACCCCCTTTTCTATTGTTCATTCCCCTGGGAAGGGTTTATATGTTATAACTCTTGCTCCCGGGCCCTACCACAGAGAGTCTGACGTCGGTGGTCCGAGGTGAAGCTGGGCTCTAGCATTTTCAGTTTCCCGGGTGATTCCTGTGGGCAGCCAGGTTGAGGACGGCTGCTTTAAGTTTTTGGCACTCTTCCCTGGAAGCCGACTTGGGAGAGAGCTCACAAGGGCAGGGATGTAATTCATGCATATTGCGTGGTTCCTGACAGTCTAAAAGGTACTTTCACGTCTGTGATTTGATCCTGATAATAACCAACTAAAGGACCCACTCTCTGCTTCAACTGCTCCCTTTACGGTGCTGACTCGTAGAAACCGACCTCCTGCCCCTGCTCCTAACTGCACTTGCCAGGATCCGGCATCCTCTGGGACCGGACTGGTCCACTCGTGCCTCGCTCTCCACCGTTCCGCTCGTCCTTCCTCTTGTCCACAGGCCCTGAGCTCCGAATGTCTGTGCACTCCATCTCATCTTTCCCTGGCCCAGGTCCAAGTTCCCCGTCTTCCCTTGCTGGTTCTTGCCATCAGCTTCCTGAACCTCCTCCCCAAAGGTTACTCTAGGCATCTCCCTGGACGGACACGGATTCTCCCTCACCCAGCTCTCTCCTAGCACTTAAAGTCAACTCCGGTCCCCTTAGCAGGACGTCCACGACTTCCAGGACCCAACCAAACCAGTGGCTGCCTCTTCGATTCTAATTCCATGGGTTGCAGAATTAAAAACTGTTCCTTGGGCTTTTCAAGGCCATGGTGTTTAGGTATCGCCAGGCTTTATTCTGAGGCACTGGTGGGTAGGTCCAAGCCATGAACTTTGGAGTTAATAGTTGAGCATTTAATCAGTTGAGCTACCTTGGGATGCATAAGACTTGACAGTCTGGTCCTATGCTTCTTCCAGCAAATGCTTCGAAATCTTTTCCATCGGAGCCAGGCCACACGTTCTGATGTTTGCTGAATCTGCAGGGCCCTTCCAGGCTTTTATGCATCTGCGGGTGCAGCATCCTCTTAGAAGACTTTCCCCTGCAGCTCACAACCTTTCAGAATGCTTCATTCCCAGTGTGGCCCTCTGAGCATCTCCCCCAGGCCCTGGGTCAAAATAAATCGTTCTTTCGAACATGTGAAAGATCTCTGTGCTTCAGAGTTTTCTTCCTCTCGCCTCTCAAACAGTTAATCAGCAGTCAGGGATTCAGGCTTAGGGGATCTTGGTGTCTGCGTACCTGACCACAAGCAGGCTTCAAAAAGTTTATGGAAAAATTCCACTGTCTTTTAGTATCATTCTTCCATGAACTTAGTGAAACCCGCTCATATGTAATAGGCATGTGAAAGTTTGTTGAATTGAACATAGGAGAGGCGTTAACAACCCTGGTGATCAGAGAATAACTGAGGCCTGGGTAACTGGCTGAAGAGCATTCTAGCGCATGCTCACACAATCTTGAAATCTAGATAGCTCTTGAAGAAGCAGAGAGGAGCCAGGCTCCTACGACACTGGAGACCAGGTAAATTTTGCCCACTATTTTACTTATTTTTAATTGCCCACTAGTTTAAGCAGAAAA